GCCATCGCCGGCCGCCACCGCCATCGCCACCGCCACCGCCATCGCCATCGCCGCCGGCCATCGCCACCGCCGCCGGCCACCGCCATCGCCGTCGCCCTCCGCCACCGCCATACACCACCGCCATCGCCCTACGCCACCGCCACCGCCATCGCCCTCCGCACACACACACACACACGCGCGCGCACACACACACACACAATCAATCAATCAATCAATCAATCAATCAATCAATCAATCAATCAATCAATCAATCAACAAATCAATCAATCAATCAATCAAAGGCGGGGTGGGGCGACCCCGCCCCCACCAATCAATCAATCAATCAATCAATCAATCAATCAACGAAAAAAACTTGATTTGTTTCTTTTTTTTTCCATCTTATTGTTCTTCTTAAAGCCCCATACCTCCTCCTCCTTGCCCCTGCCTGTTTCTCTTTTTCTTCTTGTAGCCCTAAACCTCGTGCTTGTTCGTCGTCATTGCCTTCTTTGTTTGCAGGCTCAACATGAAGAACAGACCGACAAAGTCTGTTCCGGACCTGACCGCGTCCTCGGGCGGAAGCAAAGCACGCAACAGTGCCGGACGCCCAAGATCGAACTTTTGAGAGGAGGGGCCAGCAGCGCATGCATTCAACAAGGACCCCGAACAACAAGCAGAGGTCGAAGAGGAGCTCAGCGGACAGGAATACGATGAAGATGAGGAGGACGAGGACAACCCGATGGGAGTAGAGGACGTGGGGGGAGACGAAGACGAGGAGGAGGAAGAAGAAGAAGAAGAAGAAGATGAGGAAGAGGAAGAAGAGGAAGAAGAGGAAGAAGAGGATGAAGAGGAAGAAGAGGAAGAAGAGGAAGATGAGGAAGATGAGGCTGAAGAGGAAGACGAGGATGTTCAGGACGTAGGCAGGGCACGAAAGAGGAGGAAAAAGGACAGTTGGGTGCAAAACATTCTCATGTCGGCGAAACAAACCACGAAACTTCTTCCATTCTTGTGGGCTGTTTGCCTCACAGCTGCCGGAGTGAAGCTGTACGCGCAGACGGAGAAGCACTACAGATGTTATGGCGAGATCATTTTTGCAAGTTGGGTGATGGAAGAACCGGACTCGTTCGCCGAAATGTGGGTTTTAACGGGCAAAACGCTTCTCAGCTTCCTTCTTGCCTCGAAGAAAATGGTGCCCAACAAATTCCAGATTGACAACAAGAGGCTGGCAGCAACGAGCAAAAAAGGCTGCAGGGTGCGTATCCTCATTGCCCTGAACTCTTGTAGTCCTATAACCACCGAGAAGTACTGTATGTCTGTCTGCTAAGCGATTACAGTTCTATAATCTCTGCTAAGTGATTATAGTTCTATAATCTCTGAGATTTTACTGTATGTCTGTTTGCTAAGTGACTACAGTTCTGTAGTTCTTTATGACTCTCAGAGA